GGGGGGGGGCAATTTTTTTAGGAATGCCAGCTGCCAGGTTAGATAGAGTTTGTGTCACCTCTTTCGCTAGAACAATCGGTTGTTTATCATGAATGATGTTTTACGATCCGGTACTTCCATGTTGCCGCCTAAACATCAAACATGCACAGGCACGCGTAGTTTACATGATTGTTTTGCATGTTGATGATGGTCGATGCAGTTGGCAGCAGATATGCCGATAATACTTCAATCTTGTCAAGAATTCGTGAACCAGAAGATAAGTTTCCTCTTCCACTGTTTCTCTAAATTTATCATTTATCATAACCAAATTCGGTGCTTAAGGTTTCATTTACGATGCGTTTCGTTGCCATACTATCCGTTAAATGGTAGGTAAAATGAGGCTTGTATACCTTAGCGACACGTTTTATTCGTGTCTCTCTATGTTGTTATGAATATGCATCACGTGACCGGATGTAATGGTTTCGTCATCACCGGTGATCTGTTAACTTAATTAATATTAGTAGTACGTAAATTTATTCAATCTCTTTCTTTCTCATTTGTGATGCTCATGCGGTCACATGTAACGAGTACCGACTCTAGAAAGTTCGTGGTGAGCAAGGAATTTTTCCAACGACTAACATGATTCGATAAGAATGTATTCACTGCAGATCCTCAAGCACCCGCAAGAAACGTAAAATTGCCTGCAACCGTTCGAATGTCGGTTTTCATTTGCACTTAACATGGTCGAGTCATTTCATGGCGCGGTTCTTTTCATGTAGTTAATGGTGGGACATCGATCTCCTTTCCATTCTGTACCCAGCAATGCCGGAGAGTATTTTAACCGCAAAGTTGACAGCACCGGAGTGGAAAGCGTAGTGTGTAGTTTTCTGTTTCTTTCTTACAGAGTGGTACTCATTTATCCACCGTGGAACAAAGAAACGCGAGTGACTGACGTGACCGAAGCTCGAAGCCGTGACCTCTCGACCTTGAGTTCAAACGTTTTACCACTGTGCAGAACCGCAAAGTGTCAGAATCAGAAGCAAGTGTCTTCGGCACATTGGTACGTCGGGTGATTTTTCCGTTCGTCGTCTGGTCCCATTCAGCTTTCGTACGAATAAAGCTGGATATCACTCAAAAAATGAGAAGGTTTATATCCTATAGTATAAATGTTATATCAAGCATCTTTTCTTCAAAGAGTAGGCAGGTTATATGGTATCCGTAGCAATGGATTTTGGTCTTGCATGTTTCTCCTGATATGGCTGAGGTAACACATTGAGTGATATCGTTGTCCAGCATTGGCTTGGCCTCGAA